TCTGCTCCACCCCCTCCTCCCCACCTGGGCAGCTGTAGACTGATGGTCAAGCCACCCACCTTCCTCTGGCCAGGGCAGTGCCCAACTAGACCGGGGTCCTTGGCCCCTGCTGCCCAGATGCACAGGCTGCCAGGCCCTTGTGTTCCCTTGGCAGATGTGCCCATCCTCTGGCTGGCTCTGTCAGCCCCCTCACCCAGGAGGTTGCCCCCTTCCCAGGCAGCCCCATGGAGGTGTCAGGCTGCTGTCCACAGGTCCTGACCCACAGGCTTTCAGAATCTCCCACTCAGTCTGCTTCAGGCACAGTCCACGCCAGGGCATGGAGACTGAGCAGTGTGGCCTATAGGCGGGGGTTCGCAGGTGGGGGGCAGGCAGACTGTGGCTGGTGGGGCCCTCCCTGAACCTCACTGTCCTCAGGGCAGCCCCTGGCACAGTCTCTTTCCCTTTTCTCCATCCCTGTAGGTGGGTCAGGAGGGGCGTGCCCACCTCACGCCTTGCTTCTGGCCCTGGCACCCCTTTGCAGCCACTGCAGGAGCTCCCTTTCTGGGAGGAGAGGGCGAGCATGGGGACCAACCAGCAGGCTGCCCTGTTCCCGCAGACTTCGCCGCCCTCACCTCGCAGGTGCCACCCACTTGGCTGCAACCAGGGACAGGGATGCGGACACAAGGACATCGTCTATGTCCTGTCCCTCAGCAGAAAGGAGGGAGACCCCAGCACAAGGGCACGTTCTGCACAGACTCATAGGAGGGGCGCCTCTCTGCTGCAATGAAACCTTGCTTTTTTACACTTAGTTATATTGTCTTAGAGGCAGCATCAAATATCAAACATAGGTCTTCTGTTCACCAGTAGTGGGCACGACACAAAATCATTTGATCGATTGGAACTGCTCCACACCCTGGAGGTCAGCTGTCTACAGTAAAATGCAAACACGGTCAGCCCTGTGCGCGGGCACAGCCAAGGCCTTGGGCTCAGCACTTTCCACGCCTGAGGACTGGAGTGGGGCACGGATGGTGACCTGGATCCCCAGCCCTGGGGGGATGGGGACGCAGGTCTGGCCCTTGGACAACCACACACAGGAGAGTTGCCAGGTCGGCAGGATGCCCTGGCCCCATCAGCCCGTCTCCCACGTGCCACATGGAGGACTCTGGGGCAGTGCCCTCCTCCCATGTCAGCCTGAGGATGGAGACATCGCAGCCCAAGGAGAACAGAAACATAAAGACACGTGGAGACCCGAGCATGTCTCCTGACAGCAGACCCGCCCCCAGGGCACAGGCTGTCAAGCTGGGCTACGAGAGGGGCGAGGCAGAGGGGCCCAGAGAGGGGAATGGGGTCCAAGGGGGCCCTGGAGGGCCAGCCTGACCCAGCCATATGCCTGCGGGGTGCTGGGGCCAGACTGCGTGCCAAGAGAGTGCCCCTGGGGAGTCCATCTGCCAGGCAAGAGGACCCCGAGGCCCCAGGTCCTGTGGGGACCAGCAAGCCCAGGCTGGCATCCCCAGCTCCATCACCCGCGGCTGCCCGCGCACTTCAGGAAGCCTGCCCACCTGCGCCCTCTCTCTGAAGTCTCCGCTGACTCCCTTTGTCAAGCATTTCCCTCAGAACAGACAGGAAGCCTGGCACAACTGCTGAGAAATAATTAGTTGCTCTGGTTCCTAACAAATTTGTGACCTGCAGATTCACCAGCTTGCAGACAACAAGAGTGTGTTCCTGGGTCAGCAGAAGCGGACGTCTCAGCTGTCTGGAGAGTGCCCCTCAGCCCGGCCATAGTGGCTGCGGGGTGCAGAGGACCTCCAGCCTGGGGATGAGACCACAGGTCCAAACTCAGGTTCTGGAGCCCCAGAATTGGCTCCCAGGGCTAAGGGGCAACAGGGAGGAAGCAGGAGCTGAGCTCTGCCCCACCCAGAGTAACAGGTGGCCCTCCCACACCTGAGCTGGAGCTCACAGCAGAATCGGATGGAGACAGGCACAGTCCTAAAGAGGGCATCTGCACACACGCGCACACATGGGCACGGCCCCCACACCACGCAAGCCCATCGCTCACCCTGGAGGCCTGGCTCCGCTTCATCATCATCTTAAAGAACTTTCCCAGCGAATCAACAAAAGACCAAGGTGGAAAGGAGCTGTCCCTCATGCGGGAGCGCCAACTCTCCCGAGTGGGGGCACAGGAAGGGCTGCGGGCTGTCTAGGAGGCTGCGGCCAGCAGGCGAGCGGTGCCCAAGGGCTCTGTTCCCACGAGCGGCTGGGGGTCAGGCCAAGGCCCTGGACTGGGCAGGCTGGCCAGGCTTAGGGTCCGAGGCTGGGGAACACCCAGCGGACAGGCAGAGGCCGGGCAGCGGACACAGCCCCAACTCCCGTCGGAATCCGGGCGAACTGCCTGGGGGTCTCCTAGCCTCCTCCCACTCCCACACCCCCGGAGCGCGCCTTGGCCTGGATGCTCTGGCTCAAGGAGCAGCGGGGTCACAGGGCCTCCGGCGGGTACCGGCCAACCCCGCAGACAGCGAACCGGCGGCCTGCAGCGCCTCCAGGGCCCACGACGGGGCGGCAGTCAGGGTCCCCCAGGGGTGCGCCGTGCAGGCGCCACTGGCTCCATCCCAGGCTGACCCCGCGGCCACGCGCGGCCGTCCCTAGGGCGCACAGACGCGACGCCCGCCGTGAGCTGACCGGGACCCGCGGCACCTACCGTAGCGGCTCGGTTCCCGGCAGTAGCGCAGGATGGGCAGCGCGTCTGCCCGCGGCGGCTCCGGGGCGGCCGCGGGGTCTGGGTCCGGGGCCCGGCCGGGGCTGGGGCGTTGGCCGCCGCCGCCCTCGGGCCCGAGCCCCGCGTCCCCCGCTCCGCCCGCCGCGGGGGTCACCACGAAGCGCCGGGACATGGTGGCCCGGGCGCCGGCGCCGTCCCAGGGTCCCGGGCGCCGCGAAGCCGCAGGTCTCGAGGGGTTGCAGGGCGGGGCCCCGGGGCCGCTGGGGGGGCGGGGCGAGGGGCCGGCGCAGGGGAGGGGCCAGGCGCCCGGACCTGGCGCGCTCGGGATCCGAGACGGGCGCGGGGGCCGGGGAGGGGGACCGGGGAGGGGCCCCGGAGGCGGCCCGCAGCGAGGCGGGCGGGCAGGCGTCTGGAAAGGCCTTCGGACACCGGGACGGAGCTCTAGGCCAGCTTTCATTGGGGTACCCTGCCTACTCTGGGACACAGACGCCTTGATCTTGAAACTAGTTCTGCCCCTTCAGAGCAGCACAGCCTTGGGGGCTTCCCTGAAAGAGCTTGGAAATCCCCAGGGGCGTGGGTCAGCCGCCAGGGCCTGGCAGGGGAGGCACAGGCTGTGGGAGGCTGGAGGCCCCTCTCTGGTCGGTGGCCAGCCTGGGGACCGCGGTGATGGGGTGCTCTGGCCGGGCAGGCGCCCGTCCCCCAGCTCCGGCCTCTGGTCCACCAGGGCTTCCAGCCCTTCGGGAGAGGAGGTCAAGCTGACTTCACGGGGCCTGGGAGGGCAGAGGGTGGGAAGGGGGAGGTGAGGCAGGCGGAGGCCCAGGTGGGAGCTGCCCACTCTCCCGTGGGCTGTCTCAACGCAGCACCGGCCATGGGCTAATAGCTGTTCACATGGCTCCCACTTTACGTTTGTTTATGCTGCACTTCACAATAACAAGTGTGTTTGACACGGCTGTTCATTCAGCACTTTACGGTGCCAGCTGTGCCCGGCCCTGCAGATGGCGTAGGGGCAGAACTGTACATTCTAGAGGGGAGGCAGAGGTAGGAGCTCTGATGAAGAAGCAAAGAGGGGGTCTGGGAGGATAAGACTGTAAATGGGGTGTTGGGAACAGCCCAAGACAAGAGGACATCTGAGCCATGGCTTAAAGGTGGTCAGCGGTCAGCGGTGCATGTTGCCATTCACTCACTGCATGGTCCATGATGTCGGCTCTGGCCCAGCCATCATTTCTATTCCAGCAGTGGAGAAGGAAGCAAAGCAGGACAATCAGCTCACTCCCAAGAGCTCGACCCAGAAGTGGCACACGGCGCCTTACATTCTGACCCTTTAGCCGGAACTCAGCCGTATGACTACAGCTGCCTGTGAGGAAGGCTGGAAAATGTGCCCACTAATGGTTGGGAGCCCTGTTAATGAGGAGAGCAAGAGGCTAGGTAGTAGAGGCACCACAGACACGGGGGGAAAGAGCCTGTATTTGGGATAAGGAGGACTCCTTCGGCGCTCACCCTCACTTACATTTCCCCATCTCCATCTCTGTGGCTGGAGAGCGGACAGCCAGCGCCTAGGTTATTACCCCTGCAGGCACACCTGGCCACACCTGGCCACACTGACCTCATTCCTGCACAGCCTTCTGGGTCTCTCAAAGGTGCTCAGGAGGCCCTCCTGGCAGGAGGGCTCTCCACAGACTCCCCATCCTCATGGGATACAGGGACTACCCCCTGCCCCCTCTTCTTCAATATTTTCTAGGCCATTCTCACTCCTTGTTTGTCGCCCAAGATGGACGTTTGAATAATTTTGGTGACTTTCCCCCCTAGTGCATTTATACTTTGGTTGGGAAGGCATTGGCTCCATAGGTAAGTTTGCTGAGAACTGACCTCTCTGTGGTGTAGGATCTTCCCATCCAGGTCCTGCATGTCTTTTTTATAGTGTTTATGCAGATGTATGCACACTTGGAGTTTCTACTGTAACAGACCTTTGCTGATGAGTAAAAACAAAAGCAAAGCTAAGCACTGTTAGCGTTTACGTATTTCTTTTGTAACGTGCCACCTCACGGAATTCTAAATTCTATTATTCAATTGCAATAATCCAATGCAACCTTGTAAGTGTTGAAATGGAACTTTTAATCTGTAGATAATGATAGCTACGTCTTTGTTGTTTTTACCTCTTCTTTTTGCTTTTGTTCTCGCTTTGGAATTTTCTACAAATTCCAGGGCAATATGAAATGTCACGATTGCTAGCACTCCTTGTCTGAGCTGGAACTCTCCCGGCCAGGCACCTGGAGTGGGGTTCCCTCTGCTCCACTAGGGCAGGCCTGGGACCAGACAGCCTGGTGGTCCTCATCATCGAGGAGCCCCCTGAGTTTGCAGAGCTGATGGAGGACCACCCAGCTTGGCCCTGTCCCCGCATGCCACCCTTGGACCCAGAGCCCTCCGTTGACCGTGGAGGTCCCCGAGGAAGCTGGGAGGGTGGCTCCACCCCTCGGCCCTCTCCCTCTGGAAGCTCCTCCCTCTGTGCAGTGTCTATCAGGTGAGAGCCTCACCTCTGCCCCAGGAAACCCTGCGTCTGGAGCTTCCTCTTCAAATGCCCCCACCTGCCCTGTCCAGCACACCTCCAAGGAGCAGGCTGGCCCTCTGCTCCCCCAGCCCCTCGGCACAAGGCTGTGCTAGAAATCTGGAAGACTCTGGAGCTGTGCAGAAAGCAAGGGCCAACCTCAGCCTGGGTGCACGGGCCCGCTGCACCCGCCAGCCTGCTTGGCCCACGTGGGTAGTGGTCACATCCCTGAACCTGGGAGGTCTTTGGTGAATGCCTCTTGGTACTTCAGAACCCCCTGTGTGTCCAGATGGGGGTGGAGTGACTGTGTGTTGAGAAGCCAAGTGGCTCCTGATATGCCGTTACCTGCAGAAAGAAGAGATGCAAAGTATCTAGTTAGGTCTTTAAAACGCTCCAGTTTTCTAAGCCCAGTGAAGGATGAAGGAGCTGGGGGTAGGGGTGAAGGGCCGTGGATGCAGATGACCCCGACGGTGGGGCGGAGGGTGCCAGTCACACCAGGCGGGCCAGGGGCCTCGTGCCCAAAGGCACCGGAGGCTGTCTCGTTACCTTTTCTTCTTTTCCTCTCCTTCCTTCTGTCTTGATCCATCCCCGGGGCTCAGCCCTAATCACTCAGCCAGCTGTGCCCTGGGAGACCTTCATGGGCTCATCAGGACCTGGGGCCTCCCCTTTCAGCAGCCTCTGTAAATGGGCTCGGGAAGCGAGGGTCTCCAGGGATGTCCCCCTCCTGCCAGGAGTGGGTGCCCAGGGAGTCTCTGGGAGTGAGTGAAGGGTGCGGGTAGCAAGGAAGGGATGGAGACAGAGAGACAGGGAGGGGAGACAGAAACAGAGAGAGATGGGGAGAGGGAGACAGAGACAGGTGGGAGAGACAGAGACAGACAGACACACAGGGAGCAGGAAAGCTGCCTCTCATGCTAGGATTTTCTCTTCTCCTGCACCAGGCATGCTGACTATGTCTGCTGAACTCCAGGGGGGAGGTCCTCATCCGCTGGCCCCTCTGCAGGTAAGTCCTGCGGATGCAGAGCAACCTGAGGTAAGAGGAGGAGCAGCCCCCTGCTCCACGGCCCCCAGGAACCCCTGAGCTGTTCCTGGCAGTGCACATCTGGGGCACTGTGAAGCCTTGCCTGCTGGCTCCCCGAACCTGAGCCCTGCCCATGATGAGCCACAGGGACAGATGGGGCCACACTCAGCCACAGGATAAAAAGGTGGGCACAGCCAATCACAGGGACAGACGGGGCCACGGTCAGCCATGAGGACAGACTGGGTCACCGATGTGGTCCAGGGGCTGAGCCACAGAGGCTGACAGGGCCCGGGCCCTGTGGCTGTGTTCCCTGAGTGGGCTGAGCTCTGGTCACATGCCATGGGCCTGAGGTCCATTAGTGGGGGCAGCAGGGGGGCCCACGTGGCTGGGGTCTGCTCCATGGACCCGGCACCCCTGCAGGGAGCCCGGAGCCACTACAGGCTTCTTTTGCATCTTTACTGAAGGTGTCTGTTGCCTGCTATGATGCCCTTCCCCCCATGGCTCAGTCCTGAGCCAGCACTCCTCTCCATGGCCCCCCACCCGCCAGTATTATTTTGAACCAAACTCCAGCCATCAGATGGTTTCACCTGTACATATTCAGATTATCTTTCATTTCTGGATCCAGTCCCGACCTTCCCCGTGAACAACACTCCCGGCTGCCCTCAAACACCTCACTGGAGGTCAACCTTCCCTTCCCAGGGCAGCAACCAGATCCCTGAGCCTTGGGTCTCAGGCTCCCAAAGCCATGTGTCACCTCTGTGCAAAATGCAGTGTCCTCCTGTGCGAGTGGGCAGGCCTGCCAGGCAATGAGCTGCTACGTTGGGTGCCATGCGCACTCAGGTGGGGCTCACCCGGAGGAAGGGTCCCTCAGTGCCTCGTCTGCTCTCAGCCGTAGGGATGGGCTGACGGGGGTGCTGAGTGCGGTCCTGGCCGAAGTGGAGGCGATGCCCCTCCCTCTTTCTCCCCAAGGCTGCACCTCTGCCCTGGAGCCACAGCCACTGCCTCTCCCACCAGCTCAGGCCCAAGGAGGGCCTGGCACCAGACGGCTAGCTTGAGCCACAGCGCGGACCCCTTGTGACGACAGCCTCTCCCAGGACCATACTCAGGACAGGGGCACATGGGGACTGTCTGTACTTCACACTGAATTTTCTGTCATCCTAAAGCTGCTCTAAAGAATACAGTCTATAAGGTTTTAAAAAAGTCAAATGAACAGAAAACCATATATTCAGTAAGATGCTAAACTGAGCCAGCTGGGTTATGACGTCCTGGAAGATTATATTTTCTCAGTCCTATTCTTGAGTTCCACAGCAAACATGTGACCCATTGATACCTTGGGGGGAGGCAGTGACACTACGGGGAGACCAGGGCCCAGGCTGTGACGTTCTTGGTTGCCAGGCCCTCGGCTGGCCGGAGGCAGGGTGTCCTCGCCAACAGTCGAGGCCTGTGCCAGCCCATCCCTGGAGACTGCAAGGCAGGTGTGCACCAGGTCCCATGACGCTGTGGGAGGGGCCTCTGCCTCCAGGCTCTCCCCCTGTGGGACCTGCTGGGAGAGTGTGGCCCTCACGGGCTGGCAGGGGGCCCGGCCCGAGGCCAGTAAAGGCACAGCCCACAGCAAGGCTCCTGCTGCGCCTCCCTGGTGCCCCCCCTCAGGAGACGGGACCCCCTTCGGCTCCGGGCAGGACTCTGGGCGCAGGTTTCTCCCGGGATGTGGGGGCCTGCATGCCGAGGGCCCTGGGGGTGCCAAGGCACATCTGCAGCTGGCCATTGGGGCCGACTCAGACTGGCACTGCCCTGTCCCTCCCTGGTTTCCATCACGACTCCCTAAGAGCGTCTGAACAATCGTGCGGGAAATATTTGCCCCCCTTCCGCTCCCAGGTACTTGTTGGCCCGGTGGTGGTGGGCAGGCCAGGCAGGCTTTGGCCAATGGAGTGTGAGTGAGTGGCTTTTCAGTAGCAGGGTCTGTGCCTGCTGCCCGCTGGCCCTCCTCTCTCAGAGGGAGAGCCGGAGAGCGTCCATCCCCACCGCAGCCTGGGGCCAAGGCCAGTTGAGTCAAGCCTGCCCCGCTGACCCCGGGCACTGCACAGTGCTTGAGCCAGGGGGACCTTTACTGCTTGGGGTAATCGCCAGGTGGCTTTACTGTAGTGATAGCCGAGTGACACACTCATTCTGTGCTGAGCAGATCCTCTGAAAGCCTGTGGCCTCTGTGTGGCATGGGAATTCGGTGGTTCATGGCCTGGGGGGCCAGTGTGGGGACTGCATTACACCAGCAAATGCTGCTTTTGTCAGCACCTTTACAAGCCAGATGCCAAGTCGGCCACTGGTGCATCCCCACTCTGTGGAGTGCGGTATGGTGCCCAGGCTCAGGTTGAAGTTTCAGAGCCCATGCCCGCATGTGCATGCTGTGGTGAGAAAGGCCAGCTGCCTATGCGGTAGACCAGCCTCCCATGGCAGGTGCACCTGGGTTACTCCCTGCAGTGCAGGAGGCATTTGCTTTTCACAAACCCCCAGGGCAGGGGCATTTGGGGTCCACTCCGGCCTCAGCATCCCTCACCTGTGCTGGGATGGGCAGAGACAACAGACCTGCAGTGGCCACCCAGCTCGGTAGTTCTGTATGCTTCCTGGACCCTGGAGCACAGGGGTTACTTTCTGGCCAAGCTGGTTAGCCAGGCCCTCTGTTTCTGGCCATCAGGAGTCCAGGGAGGGATGCGGTGATATGGGTTGGGGGCAAGGCTGGGGCCTTGGAGTATGATGGGAGGTGCTGGGTAAGTGCTGGGCTACTGGACATCGGCCAGGAAGTTATTCACACTGGAGGGTCCTCACTGCAGCTTTTCTGCTGGAGCAGAGCTGGGCCCTATACCTGCAGGGCCCCAGCAGGTGACTCTTGGGGTCTGCAGGACCACCCAGGGTACGTAGGTTGCTTTTGGTGCCACTCCCTGGCTTTTAGAATGTCCTCCTTCAACTCTGGACCAGTGTCCACTAAGGGGTCCCTGTGTGCCTGCTGGCTGGTGACTACCAGGCCTCCACAGCTCTCTTGGACAGAGGTAGCTGCCCCTGGCCCTCATTCTTCAGGGAAAACTTCAGTATTATTACCTGGGCTGCTCCAGCACCCAGGACAGTGGCAGTGCCTTTGACATTCAGAAATCAGTGTGGAATGATGGATGGATGGTGGATGGTGGATGGATGGTGGATGTATGTATGTATGTATGTATGTATGGATGGATGGATGGAAGGATGGGTGGATGGATGGATGGATGGATGGATGGATGGTGGATGGTGGATGGATGGGTGGATGAATGGATGGAGGGATGGATGGAGGGATGGATGGATGGATGGATGGATGGAGGGAGGGAGGGATGGATGGATGAATAGATGGATGGATGGGTGGATGGGTGGATGGATGGATGATGGATGGTGGATGGTGGATGGTGGATAGATGGGTGGTGGATGATGGATGGTGGATGGTGGATGGTGGATGGATGGATGGGGGTGAATGGGTGGTGGGTGGATGGATGGTGGGTGGATGGGTGGTGGGTGGATGGATGGTGGATGGATGGGTGGTGGGTGGATGGATGGTGGATGATGGATGGTGGATCGTGGTTGGATGGGTAGTGGGTGGATGGGTGGTGGGTAGATGGATGGTGGATGGTGGATGGATGGATGGGTGGATGGATGGATGGATGGATGGTGGATGGTGGATGGATGGTGGATGGGTGGTGGGTGGATGGATAGTGGATGATGGATGGTGGGTGGTGGGTGGATGGGTGGTGGGTGAATGGATGGTGGATGATGGATGGTGGATGGATGGATGGGTGGATGGATGGATGGATGGATGGTGGATGGGTGGTGGATGGATGGATGGTGGATGGTGGATGGATGGGTGGTGGGTGGATTGGTGGTGGATGGATGGATGGTGGATTGTGGATGGATGGTGGATGGTGGATGGATAGTGGATGGTGGATGGATGGTGGATGGGTGGTGGGTGGATGGTGGATGGTGGATGGATGGCAGATGGGCGGATTCGTGCCTGGAACTCTCTTTATGTGTAATTAGTGCTCAGTAAATGTTAATTCTCTTTCTTCTGTTCTTCTGGGAAGTGTCAGAAGAGCTGTTGATTACCCTGGGCCCTCATGCCTGATTGGCTTAAGTCCTGCATGTCTGCACCTCAGCCCTGAGCTGTATGCTAGATAGCCTGGTGTAACAACCCTCAGGAAGTTTAGTGCAGATGAGGAGAGGGAGAGAAAGGAAGGAAGTGGGTAGACACATAGAGGGAGGGGTGTGGGGCGCTTGGGGGAGATGCTGGGACTGGCCTCAGAATGGTGGGCCGGCTGGACGCTGGCTGGAATATCACTCAGTGGGGAGGGATGGGGCTGGGGGACACTGCACAGGAGGGACAGATTGTGGTGAGGCCGTGGCCTCGCTGCCCCCATCCCCTTGGCCATCTGCTCCTGTCATTCTGCCCTCCTGGGGAAGCCGGGTTTGTCCAGGTGCCCCCTGCTTTTGCTGGGTCTGGGTGTGAGCAGGTGGGCCTGGCCAGTGAGTCGGGCAGGGGGTGGGGGAAAGGGGTGTTTCTGTGAATGACTCTGCCCGGGCCGGTGGGGGTCCCATTGGAGTGGCAGTCTCCTCCTGGGGCTCCTGGCAGGGGCGTGGGGCCCTGTGCCTGGTAGGGTGTTCATATGCTTGTACCCTGCGGCCAGCTTGGTGGGGGGGCGGGGGGCGGTCCTAGTCTGGGTCACTCAGTGGGGGAGGGGCCCTGGGGCTGGGGGCTGGTTCCCCTCAGGTGGACCTGTGCCGGCTCTGAAGTTGCTCTTGGGGGATCCCGGATCAGATGTCCCCCCGCCTGGAGGACCCGCTGTGCCCCCCCTGCCTGGACGCCCAGCCCCAGCCCGAGCCGTGTCGCTCTTAGCCGTGGCCTCCCTGTGGTGGAACCTGCCCCACTTTGGATGTGTAAACACGGAAACCTGGGCCACCTGACCTGCTGCCTGGCTCAGCACAGAGACCTGAGGCTGCTCAGGCCCTTGCTCCCCTGGGGGATTCAGGTTTCCAAGTGGGGCCCCTTAGCCTGCTTTAGGCGGGGCTCACAGCAGCCCTGAGTGCGTGAGCTGAGTTGTGGGCTGTGGGCATGCTGGAGCCTTGACAGTAAGGGCAGTGACCCCCTGAGCCATGCCCATCAGGGCTGACTGGAAACAGAATAGTCTGCCATGCCCAGTCCCCGCCTCCCGGGCTGGGAGGCACTGCAGGTCTGCCCAGGGCTCCACACACCTGGAGAGCTCTGAGGCCTTCAGGGAGAGGTGGGCAGCCCCAGACCTGCAGAGCCTCCCCCACCTCATTCAGTCAGCCCCAACCCCGGCCAGGCACAGGGGCAGACCCTGGGTGTGTTCCCCCACCCGACTGGCCCTAGCCCCAGAAATCCTCCCAAGACTACCTCATACCCTCCCCCACAGACCGGCCACGGGACCCCCACCTGACCTCAGCTGGCCCACAAGCCCATGTCCACCGTACCCAGCCAAGACCCCAGAGCCCCTTGGGCTGCCCTGACCGGCAGAAGCCCCCTGGCCCAGGGTGCCCACAAAGGACCAGGGGCAGCTTTGGCCTCCCCCGGGGCCAGGGGCTGGCATCTAGCCCAGAAGTGCAAGGCGTCTCACAAATATCAGTGCTCCCAGCCTGGAGGGAGTGTCCCTGCCCCCTCTGGGGAGGTGGTGCCTTGGAGTTGCCCCCATGCTTCCTTGCAGAGCTGTGGCTTCCTGTGTCACCCCCAGAGAGCATCAGCATGTGGCCTTGGGACATTCAGGGGTGCTGCCATCTGTGTCCTGACTTACAAAAGCAATTGGTAAATATTTAGGGATTTGTGAGCTGGCGGATAAACACCAGAAGCTTGGCTTCAGCCATGGTGAATATATTTACACCCCGGAAACTGGCAAATGCTACAAAGCTTGTTGTTCTTTGAAGGGCTGCCAATCTCAGGACCCTGGGCTTTGTGACCTGAGTCAGGCCAGAGCTGGGGGCAGAGGGGCTCCAAGGGGACAAGAACACACAGCCTGAGTTTGGGCCAGCTGGATCTCTAACTTCCGTGGACATGCTGCATGGGGTGGCATGTGATCCCTGGGAAGCCCCAGCTCTGAGAGCACCACGCACCCCGGAACCCCAGAGGCCTG